GACAAACATTGAAGCACGGAGGGAGTATTTTATTTAAAAGTGTGTGATTATGTTATTGAAAAAATGGACAAGAATAATCCCAATTATTACTAATTTGCTTGAAATAATCTAAAGTATCAATTATCTCAATATAATCTCAACTATTAAAAATTCTTCTCAAAATATTTCGGTGACTTATAATTATGCGTAAATAACTTATAATATTTATTTTCTCTTCTCATTCACTTTAGGAAATTAATTATTTATAGTTTTTATTTTACTATAATTAATAATTTTAGGAAAAATTGATAGTAATAATCCTAACTATTGGCGGTCCGCTAATAATAATCTCAACTATCGATTATTTAAGAATAATCTGAACTTTAGGGACCTTTCGCCAATAATGGTCCCTATAAATAAATTCATGTAGTTTTTAAAGTGGATGAGAAAAGATATACGTAGTAACAAGTAATCCCTATAAAATAATCCTAACTTTTAATTTTACGCTTAATTTCTATTTAAAATTCACTTGTTATAGGAGCTAATATTTGGTCATGGACCATTATTGGCGGACGGTACACATAGTTGGGATTATACAAAAATAATCAATAGCTGAGATTATATTATCAGCGGACTGGCAATAGTTGGGATTATTATTTTCAATTTTTCCATAATTTTATTACTTTACGTCTAATTAAGTATATTGTGTTTCATGGCGGCATTACTGCTTTGTGTTACTGTATCAAGTGTCATAATCACTTCATAACAAACTTACTTAATGCATTTATTCAATGTCATGTACAACATATATTTTGCCATATTCACTGTCATCGATCTCACCACTTATTGTTATGTTCACTATCAATGTCAATGCTCATGGTTACTGCCCACAAATCCTAAATTCACTCACCTTACTCAACAATATCTATCATTCTATCATGTTTACTGTCCACATTCACTGCCCATATTTAATGACCACAAACTCTAATTTTAGAAACTTCTAATTTCAAAAATAGAAAAGCAAGAATGAAAATGGAGGGCCAAAGCTAGTAACGGATCAGAGCATCTTCTTTTTTCGTGTCCAACAAATTGCTCCAAACCTATCTTTATGTAATTTCTCCAATTCCTCCAATCCCATAAACCTTAATTTCACAAAAAAAAATCAAAAGAAGCCCACAAACCCCAAATTGATTAACCACAAACAATGGCCCTCCATACGAAATTGGTCAAAAGCATGATGGCAGGGGAGGGTTGGTAGAGCTACTGCGTCTTCCTCTTATGTAGATTCCTGGAGCGTCTGACCTTGAAGGCGGTGGTGGTTCTAGTTGCGGCCGCACATGGACCAGTGCGCCTCCTTGGCCTACGACATCACCTCAGGGCATCAATGACGGGTACAAGGCAAGCCACGCACTAGCTAGGTGTCGTATGTGGTATACGAAAGCGAGAGGAAGCAGGGTGAGGGGCATGGCGGCAGCAGTGCGGCTGGATGGCGAGTTGGGGATCGAATTGAATGCGGCCATGCGATTAGGATTGGAGACTAAAGGCTAGTGTTAGAGAAAAAAGGTGGAAGATTAGGGTTTTATAGGTATAACCCAAAGAGTATATATATGAGTCCATAAAAATTATTTATTAATTAATTAATTACGAAATAATTAAATTTTATACGTAGTACTACGTATATTTAAATATTATTTTAAAAAAAAACTAGTTAGGTCATAGATTGGGAAAGCGGTGAAGTTTTAGTCATAACTAGCTTAGGGTAGTTATAACTAAGCTTAGCTTAGTTATCTCCTTTATATATATATATATTAGAATCAAACCAATTCATTATCTATATTGAGAAAGACATTTTAGGAGAGAAGTAAGAAAAATTATCATCGATAAATCATCTAGTGCTAGCCGCATACGATTTCATTTGTGGAAGGATCGATGCTCCCGGCTTTTTCATTCTTCCTTCCTTAACCGTTTTTGCAAAGTTCAATTCTTTCCTTATCGATTTTGTAAATTAACCATCTTTAATTTGTAACTTTGTTCGTCTTTGTTCAATCTTGGCATACCCAGAGATTGAGTTTAATTTACATCGGAGCCATCTTCCAGATTCCACTGAATAACTACTCTAATAATTTATTTACATTTTTATTTCATGAGTTCATTTATACACTTTCATGGATTTTGTACTTTTCTGTGGGCGATTGTATTCATGGATATCTCATGCATATTCCTGAAATATCGTTGGATCAGTAGAGATCAGATTTGAGCTCGAACCAATTTTTTTTGGTGCACTTAATTTTGTATAATCTTGAATATGTATTCGTTCATATAGCGAAGCTAAGTTCTTACAATATTAATTGAAGTTCTTTTCATCTTTTGTACTCGTATATCCTCTTACTTGCACAGTACGTCCGAATGGCTTGTTATGATGCACTAATTTAAACTATTAATTTATGCCAATGATGTATACAAAACAATAATTTTGGGAAATAATGGCCTACCCTATTGGGTGCCTTGAGGTTATATTTATACTAAAACGAGATTAGGAAATTACATCATAATCCTTATATAATTACATTATTACACCCCCTCAATCTGTGCAGGGGAAACAACGCGCAGATTGGAACGTAAAAACTCGAAACGCTGACTAGATAAATTTTTAGTAAAAATGTCAGCCAACTGTAACTGTGTGGGAATGTACTTCACGATGAGATCGCCATGAGCCACCCTCTCTCGAACAAAATGATAATCAATTTTAATGTGCTTACTCCTGTCATGCTGAATAGGATTAACAGCAAGGTATGAGGCAGAAACGTTATCACAATGAAGCTGGACAGGTACCGAAATATATATCCCCATATCCGCTAAGAGAGACCTGATAAAAAGTGTATCCTGGACAGTATATGCAATGGCCCTGTATTCAGCTTCAGTGGAAGATTTGGATACTGTAGGCTGCTTTTTAGACCGCCAGGAGATGAGATTGGAACCCAGAAAAACAGCATACCCGGTAGTGGAGCGTGAACTATCGGGGCAACCGGCCCAATCTGCATCAGAATATGCCAAAATGACAGAGATATCTCTGTCCGATTTGAGCCACAGACCATGAGTAGATGTCCCCTGAAGATACCTGTAAATTCTCTTAACAGCCAACAAATGAGTAGTGCGTGGAGCATGCATAAACTGGGAAACCAAATGAACAGCATATGTAATATCAGGTCTAGTGATAATCAAATACTGAAGAGCACCTACCATACTGCGATACTCAGTAGCATCAGATAAAAGTTCCCCATCTGTGAGAGAAAGGGTGGTACGGGAGGGAAGAGGAGTGCGCACAGGCTTGACTGTGTGAAGATGAAAACGGCGTAGTAGATCAGAAATATATTTAGCCTGTGATAAAAAGAGACCTTTGGGCGTGCGTTTGGCCTGAATACCCAAGAAATAATGCACATCCCCCAGATCCTTCATGGCAAACTGAAGAGACAAGGTATGAATAACGGACATAACAAATGAGGAGGAAGAACCAGTAATAAGAATGTCATCAACATACAACAGAATATAAATAACCTGTGAATGAGAACGATAGACAAACATAGAAGAATCAGATTTACTCTGTGTGAAGCCCCGACTCAATAAAAAACCACTGAATCGATGAAACCAGGCTCGTGGAGCCTGTTTTAGACCATAAAGAGCTTTGCGTAAACGACACACATGGTTAGGAAAAGATGGGTGAATAAAACCTTGTGGTTGACGCATGTAGACCTCTTCAGTTAAGTAGCCATGCAAAAAAGCATTTTTGACATCAAGTTGTCTAACAGACCAACCCAAAGAAATAGCAACAGATAAAATAAGACGAACAGTAGTAGGTTTAACGACAGGACTAAAAGTTTCAGTGAAATCAATACCAGCCTGTTGTTTAAAACCCTGAGCCACTAAGCGAGCTTTATGACGCTCAACAGACCCATCAGAACAATATTTTGTCTTATAAATCCACTTACAACCGACCACATTTTTAGTGTGATCCCACGGTACTAAATCCCAGGTTTTATTAGCAATTAAAGCATTAAATTCATCAGCCATGGCTGCCCGCCAAACCTCACTCTTATTAGCCTGTGTGAAACAAGTTGGATCAGTCGGGAGAGCTAGAACATGTAAATTAAAAATTTGTTTTGGTTTAAAAATACCATCCTTAGCGCGTGTGCGCATAGGATGTACATTGGTAGGAGCAATCGGCATACTCATGGGGGAGGGGGTATTGTGTGAGGGACTGGCCGAGAGAGATGGACTGCCATCCGAGGAGGATGGACTAGCAGTACCATCGGGGAGACTTGGTGCGGCAGAGGGGATACTAGGTGAAGGCATAGGACTGGTGGGTGAAGTAGGTAGCTCGATCAAGGGTGTATGAGGCTGGGATGATGTAGGTGTGATCGGGGGAGCAGTGGGCTGAGACGGACTGGGAAGAAAAGAATCAGGAGTGGAGCGGGACAACCAGGACGGGGTGAGGGCAGGGGTCGTAGGTGGCTGGTTCGAGACTGGGGTAGGATAGGGAAAGATATTTTCATGAAAAAGTACGTATCGACTCACATAAACTCGGCCAGTGGAAGGAGAGAAGCAACGATAACCCTTATAACCCGGTGCATAGCCAATGAAAACACAATGAATGGAACGAGGTGATAACTTGTTGTGAGAAGCAGCAATAAAGTTTGGAAAACAGGAACAACCAAACACACGCATGAAATTATAATCTGGAATTTTATTAAAAAGTTTTTCGTAGGGCGTGAGACCGTTCAAAATCGGTGTAGGCAGACGATTTATAATAAATGTAGCAGTATATAAAGCATCAACCCAGAATTTACTTGGAATAGAAGAATCAATCAACATAGTCCTAGTTAATTCTAGTAGATGTCTATGTTTTCGTTCTGCCACACCATTTTGAGCCGGAGTTTCAGGACAAGACTTCCTAAATAAAATTCCAGATTTTAGAAAATGCTCTCTAAAAATATTGTTGTCAAATTCACCCCCTCCATCCCTTTGAAAAATTTTAATTTTCAAATTAAAAAGATTTTCAGCAAGTTTTTGAAAGTTTAAAAAATGAGTAAATACTTCAGACTTCCTGTGCATTGGATAAACCCAAGTGTACCTAGAAAAATCATCAATAAATAGAACATAATATTTGAAGCCAAGATTGGACAAAACCGGCGATTGCCAAACATCAGAATGAATAAGTTGTAAAGGTGCAGTAGAGTCATGAGTAACATCACGGAAAGGAAGTCTGTGGGATTTACCCAGTTTACAAGAAACACAATCATGAATAAAGGAGGAGGAAGTGGAAATTAATTTATGCTGCCTAAGTCTACCAAGAACTCTATCACCACAATGCCCCAAACGCTTGTGCCATACTGGACCAGTTACAACGCGGGCTTGAAGGGCATGAAAAGGGTAGACATGGTCTTTATTAAGGGCCTGAAGAAGAAGCTCCCCCGTGTGATTGTCCTTAACAGAAAAAGAGTTTTTATCAAAAATCACTTGACAGGCATTATCCGCACATAATTTTTGAATAGACAGTAAATTATATTTAATATGTGGGACATGATAAACAGAATTGAGATTTAACGGGCGACCACGAGTGGTAAGCTTTAAATGACCAATATTAGAAATGGGTAATTTTGTACCGTTAGCAACACACACTTGATTTGGGCCACTGTAAGGAGTTTTATAAGAAAGAATACCTTCATGTGGAGTCATATGAGCTGAAGCCCCAGAGTCAGGATACCAGACTGAATCATTATTTTCACCGGTAGGTAAAGCAGCAAGAGCCGGGGTATTTGATGCAGTGAAGCGGGAACAGTGAAGTGCTGAGTGACCTGGAGAAAAACACAACTGACACACAACTGGAGGGGGAGGTGATTGATATGACTGATCCACAGATGGGAAACCTGCATAAGATGTGTGAGTGGCAGATGTAGGAAAATAAACAGTACAATTATTACCAGAACTAACATTACACAATGCCGAACCTGGCATCCCAGGAAATATAGGTGGGCGCTGCATCGGAGGGGCGGGCTGCTGTGGATAAGCTGCATAGGACTGCTGCGGATGACCGGTATACGCCTGCTGGTAGTAACCGCGGCCACCGCCACGACCACGTCCGCCACGACCCCTGTTTCCTCAGTTTCCGCGACCACCAGGGCCACGTGGCTGCCCACCTGCAGGACGTGGAGCACCCCCTCGGACTGCTGGGACAGCTGGGGCAGAAAACGCTTGATGAACGGGAGCAGACTCTTGTGCCTGAAAAAAAAGGTTGCGTTGCTCTTGTGCTTGGAGAATGGGACGTAGATCGTCAAGGCTTGGAAGCCCCGGGAGTTGGTCAATGTTGTTGAGGACGGACTCATATCCTCGTCCCAACCCAAGAATGGCATACTCAATTTGATCTCTCCCACTGACTGGAGCATTAATGGCTGCAAGTGAATCTGCCAGGAGCTTGATTTCTAACAAATATTGATCCATAGTCTGGGATTCTTTCTTTTTCATATGAGACAACAACCTTTTAAGTTCTATGGATCGAGAAATACAAGCAGACATAAAACGTTTCTGAAGTTTCTCCCAAATAAGATGTGAAAATTTTAGATCATAAACTTCCATTAAAACATCTCTAGCAAGCGTAGCAAAAATCCATGAACGCACAGTTTGATCAATTTTTAGCCAATGAGAATAATCAGAAGTAGTAGGTGAGGGAACTGGAATAGACCCATCTAAAACACCCAAAAGACTATGAGAGACTAAAAATGATTCAAACTGGGTTCTCCAAGGTAAATAATCTTCAACAGACGATAAACGGGTAGTCACAATGTTACTCACATTTGGGGTAGAAAATGCCAATTGAGATGCTAGAGATGATAAAGGAGTGGAAGAATTATGATAACCTGACAGAGGATATGCCGAGGGTGTTGACATCGGAGCTATGCCTGGCTGACCCGCAAAGGTGGGTCCAGAAAATACATTGGATGAACTGCCAACCTCTGGAAAAATTGGTGGAGGCGGGAATGGTGCTGAAGCCGAAAACTGTGTAGAAGATGGCATCCAAGAAAATGGCTCAGGCATATTGAACATTCTGTAGGACTCCAAGGGTGCTATTGATAAGCACAATAATTACTTATGTTTTACATAAAGTAATTACATTTATCTGTACAAAAATATGAAGCAAAAACAGATAAATATTCTCGAGTTAGCGGAAACATGAAATACGACATGGAGCAATAAAAATAGGGTCAAAAGTCAAAAGGGATCGAAAACCGGCACTTCGGGATCAATTTCGGGCATCAAACGAAGAAAAGAAGCGAAGTACAAAATTGGGCGCAGGGACCGGCGCCGGAGTCCCTATAACCGGCGCCGGTCGTCAGGAATTTTTGCCCAATTCGGCCCTGTTTCCAACCGGCGCAGCACAACCGGTGCATTTTTGCACCCAACCGGCGCCGGACATGCTATAACCGGCGCCGGTTGTTCCGATTTTTTGCTAAAACAGTCCGACGTGCAGAAGATTTCTGATGGGAAAAACCCATCTTCCTCCATATCTGATCAAATATTGCTTCCATATCCGATTGTTAGGCTTGAATAGACTAAAAGATGCCATTCTTTAGCCTATATAAAGCCCTTAATTCATCAAGCAATGACATTCCATTCCATAGATTAATTCTTAGCTTTTATATTTTTGTTCTTGGTATTTTCTTCAAGTTCTTGAGGAGGAAACTTCAACCTCCGAAACCATTGGTGTTTAGGTATTATTTCCTTTGTAATTTCATGTTCCATTACATTTCATATTGTATTGTGATTAATATGAGCATTAGAGGCTAATTTCTTAGCTAAGGCTAGGGATGAACCTCTATGCACACTAGGTGTTTGATAAAAGTTCTAAACCAATAAATTGTGATTTATCCTTTATATTTTGATTGTTTATGACTATGGTGTACAACATAGAAGTATGTTAAATTTAGTTTATGCTTGCAATTAACGTTGAAGTCTAAACTATGAACACTAAAGGATAAACATATATAGCACCGAGAATAGAAATATATCCGGTCTTATATGATACGGGTGTGATGTCTTGATATTCAACGGGGTTTTCGGTAGATGAATGTGAGCCGTAACGGGACTTACACGTAACAAAAACCACGCTCTCGCTGCCTTAACCGGAGTTGAGAATATATTAGCGACATCGTATTCATAATTATTGGAGAAGAACTATTATTAAATAACTATTAAAGCATTTAGGTGAATCCCGATTGCCTTAGTAATTCTCATTCTTGTTTAAACCAATCTCAAAGAGCAAAGTTCCTAAAAAAATATATCATTTACATTCTTTGCATTCAATACTCGACTTTATAATATCAACCATTTCCCTGTGGATCGACCCGGTATTTACCGGTATTTTATTACTACATCGGCACTTGTATACTTGCAAGTTTAGCCCGGTCAGCTATGCTGCGAATTCGCTGGGAGAAGGAGGCCGGTGGTGGAGACGCAGTTTGCACGGCCTGTGGTGAGGAGAAAAGAACGTGGCTGGAACTCTCGCCATGGAGCACTGGAACAACGGATGACGGAGTAGCAGAGGAAGGCGGCTCCGGAATAACGGGCGCCATGTTTGTCGCAGCCGCAGACATCGTATGACCTGCCATGGATCGGTCGAACGAGTAGGTAGAGGGAGAAAAACCTAGACGTCTGATACCATATACAAAACAATAATTTTGGGAAATAATGGCCTACCCTATTGGGTGCCTTGAGGTTATATTTATACTAAAACGAGATTAGGAAATTACATCATAATCCTTATATAATTACATTATTATGATGTTCATCCTCTCATACACTCTTTCGGGTTATGGGAGGTCCTTAGAGTTGGGAATCCGACCATTTTGAAAATGAATTTATCAAAAAGATAGTCAACTTTCTAGAAGATTTTGTTGAGCAAGTACACATGGAAGAAAGCTACACGTACACGCATTATATTTAGTTATCATCAGTGTGGAAAAGAAGGCATATAGCTAATTCGGAGTATATATCTTTTAGGCTATGGTAGTCACGATGCATATTCAATCGGCACAAAGCCAACCAAAGTATTTAGCCAAGACTAGTGTACGTGATGTTGCCCATATAGATCCGAACTAATCGATTGCGCATGATACGGATTCGATTTCGCCGCCTTAAGCCAACGTAGAAACCCTGCGCCTGCATGGATATTATTATAACATGCACATATTATTAGTGGGTAGTAATTAATAAATTAAACTTATTATCCTTACTCTGCCTTATACGTACATAAAAGAAATCAATATTTTATACATGTTTTTACTTGGAATGTATTCAATCCCACCCCAGATCAGAGCAGACTTTCATAGTTATAAAATAGGGAGAGTTTCCGAAATAGGACTAAAAAAGTTTTGAAAATTCCAAAATAGGACTGTCATGTTTTTATTCCCAAAATAGGACTAATTACTGCCAAGTTTGGAAAATACTGCCATGTTTGAAGTCTGGTACTGCCAAAACATGACACTAATTAGTCCTATTTTGGAAATAAAAACGTGGAAGTCCTATTTTGGAATTTTCAAACTTTTTTAGTCCTATTTCGGGTAATAACTCTATAAAATACACAGAGATCAGACATTTACCAGACCAGACTAAATCAGACCAAACTTAAACACATCAGACTAGACGAGCCAATTTTAGTCCGTAAAAACATTCCTTCTCTTTAAATAGGACAATTAAGTTTGACCATAATTTGAACCGGAAGGTACATGAATAGATAGTTATTAAAGATGGTGCATGGAGAACTCACGAGGAGAGCAAAAGTGTAGGCGAGGATAGCAGGAAAGTCGGTGTAGAATCTGAGACAGCAAGTCACACAGTCTATGTTCTCGTCGCCTCGCCCTGATCTCAGTGCAATCTCTTGCTCATAAGCAAACAGCGCTAAACGGTAACATACCATATGCACCATCACCTGCCACTCGCATGCACATATTCATATAAATTATTAATAATGTAGTTATTTCCTATTAGGAGTTTTTCCTATTTTAATTATTTCCTTGTAATAGGTTTCCTATTGTTATAGGTTTCCTAAGATATTTTGTACTCTTATTTATTATATATATGATACTCAGGGCTACCACATTGGTAAGCCGGCCATTATTCTCACATGGTATCAGAGCCCTAGGTTTTAGCCAATAATAAATTTTTTTTTTCGGTCCACAATGTCGACCACCGCCGCTGCTACCGCATCCAATACCACCGCGGCCGCATCTACACCGCTGGTGAGCGATCCGCCGGTCCTCAGCGCGGCTTTCCAGGAGTCCACAGCAGCAGTAACGTCGCAGACGACAGCGCCGGCAATCGAGCAGCTTCCTTCGTCGCCGTTCTCCTCCAATTTTCTCTCTGCGCCGGCACCAACATCCTGGGTTCCCCCTATTTTTACCTGGACACCAACTCAACCCGTCCTTCGGCCCTCGTTTAACCGACCCTTGGAGTCGCCGATGGGCTCCAGTGCTGCAGCTCCAATCTGCGATCGGTTTGCCGGTCCTACTCTATCCGGCAGTCCGGGTCTCGTTCTTCCGCAACAAGCCGGGTCCGTTGGTCGTCGTTCGGTGGTCCCACTCATGCCGGAGTCGTTTGCTGCCTTGGCTCAAGGCATGGGGTTTGGAGTTCCTTCCATTACCAATATTGTGACAACGAAATTATCTGCCGTTGAAGATTACCTGCCCTGGCGTACCCAGTTTGAGTCGTTTCTGGTTTCCAATGGTCTCTTAGGAATCCTTGATGGCTCCCTTCCGGCACCATCTCCTTATATCTATGATTTATATCAGGCTGAATCTGCCAATCCTGAATACTATCATTGGTTAAAATTAGATCAGACTGTTCGTTCGTGGCTCTTTGCAACCCTCTCTCGTGATATTCTTATTGAGGTTCATCAATTGAAAAATTCTACAGCTATTTGGGAACGCTTGGAGGCTCGTTTTATGGCGGCTAGTCTGGCTCGTTCCATGGAATTGAAACAAATGCTGACTCATATGAAAAAGAAAGACACTCAGTCCATGGAACAATATTTACTCCAGATACGGACCATTGCAGAGAACTTGGCATCTATCAACTCACCGGTTTCCGATCATGATCTTTTGCAACATGCTCTTTTGGGATTAGGACCGGGGTATGAGTCACTAGTCGGCCCTCTCACACTTTTTCCGGAAGGCCTCACGTTTGATAAATTGTGCCACAAGCTCGTTCATCAGGAAGCCCGTCTCAACTTCCAACAAAAGCTGGACTCATCGATCACTACACCTGCGTTTGCAGCCAATTCGGGTCCTGGTGGAGCTTCGACTGGCTCTGGCTCCGGCATTCAACAGCAACCACCACATCAACGAGGTCGTGGCGGCAGAGGTCGTGGAGGCCAGCGCGGCAGAGGAGGCCGTGGGCGTGGCCGTCATCAGCAACAGCAGTTTGCGCCCCACGGCTACGGGCAGCAGTCTCCATCATACGGTCAGGGTGCTCCGCCTTATCCGCATGGTCCTACTGGCCGAGGGCAGGCCTCACATTATTCTTCGGGTCCATCAGGTACAGTTATTTGTAATTCGGTTGAGTCATTGTCTAATACTTTTGCCCTATCTACTTTTGGTACTAACTATGATTATGCAGGATCTCCGACCTTTGAGAATAGTTTTGGTACTGTTCCTCCACCTATTGTCTGTCAAATATGTCATTCACCAGGTCATTCTGCTGTTACGTGTCCATCTCGCTTTGCTCAACCTCAATCTCCTGCATTAGCTGTTCCTACTGGTGAAGTCTCACCGACTGTTTGGTATCCTGATTCCGGTGCCTCTGCTCATATGACCTCAAATGAAGGTATTTTGCACAATAAATCAATTTATTCTGGACCACTTAATATTACGGTTGCAAATGGCACTAAATTACCTGTACAGACTATCGGTAATGTGACACTATCTTCTCTGCCTAGACCTCTTCATTTAAAATCTGTTTTTCATGTTCCTCATCTCAAATATAATCTGTTATCCATTCAAAGGTTGTGTGCTGATAATAATTGTTTTGTAATTTTTGATAAAAATTCTGTTTGTGTTAAGGACCAAATCTCGGGGGAGGTGCTTCTTCAAGCTTCCAGTAGTGGTGGAGTCTATCCTTTTTCCTTTAGCCATTCTCAACCTGTTGCTTTTACCTCTCAAGTTGCTCCTTCTGGACCAGTCTGGCATCGTAGATTGGGACATTGTGGCAGCCGTATTTTAGATAAACTTAAAAAGTCTGGGTCTATTTCTAGCACTTCTCATTTTTCCCATGATTGTATTTCTTGTCGTTTAGGAAAATCACAACGATTACCTTTTCAGGAAGTTTGGCATAAATCTACTGCACCTTTATTTTTAATTCACTCCGATGTGTGGCAATCTCCTGTTATTTCTAACCAAGGATTTAAATATTATGTTCTTTTTATTGATGATTATTCCCGCTTTACTTGGCTCTATCCTATGCGCAATAAAAGTGAAGTTTTAAAATATTTTAAACAATTCAAAACAATGGTGGAAAATTTATTTAACTCTACAATTAAAATTTTTCAAAGTGATGGAGGGGGTGAGTTTGATAATCGTGGTATGCGTGATGTTTTTCTTCAGCATGGTATTTTATTCCGCAAATCTTGTCCTGACACTCCCGAACAAAACGGAGTTGCTGAACGGAAACATCGTCATCTTCTGGAATTAACTCGCACTATGCTTTTTGAAGCAAAACTGCCAGCAAAATTTTGGGTTGATGCTGTTTTCACTGCTACCTATATTATCAATCGCCTCCCTACACCTAATTTGAATGGTGCTTCTCCTTTTGAAAAATTATTTCATCATCCACCAGACTTCACTTTTATGCGTACTTTTGGGTGTGCTTGTTTTCCTAATTTCAATGCCACATCTGCCAACAAGTTATCCCCTAGATCCACCTTATGTATCTTTTTGGGATATGCCCCTGAATATAAAGGATATCGTTGTCTTGATCCTAAAACTGACAGAATTTACGTCAACAGGAATGTCCGATTCTTTGAAACTTATTTTCCATACCCCGACTTATCTAATACACCTGGTGTGTCTACGATGTCATCTGGTTCCATGGTGCATCTGCATGAACTCACTACCACTCCACATCAACCTCCAACAATTCTCCAAACCCAGTTTCCAACTCCACCACCAAACCCGCGTTCGATATCCACTTCTCCAGCCATTTTCCTCCAGCCAGACTCTCCACCAATCCCTTCCACCCAAACCGAATCCCCATCACTCACTCCACATCCATCCAGCTCTCCACCACGTGGCAGTAGCTCCACGCCACCCCTCCGCACTGCTGCCAGCCCATGTCCTTCTCCTCTATCCTCGGATACTTCATCCGGAGCTTCCGCTGATATACTCCCAGACCAACTCCAAGTTCCCTTGACCGACTGCACTTCATCCCCGTCACCACCCCCGCTGACTGGTCATCACATGCAAACCCGCTCTAAGTCGGGTATTTTCAAACCAAAATCAATTTTTACTCTTAAAACAGATATTTCAGCATGTGACCCTACTTGCTTTTCAGTGGCTAATAAAGATGCTAAATGGAGAGAGGCCATGGCAGAAGAATTTAATGCTCTTATTGATAATCATACTTGGGATTTAGTTCCATTTAATTCTAATAAAAATGTGGTCGGGTCTAAATGGATTTATAAGACAAAATTTAAGTCTGATGGGTCAGTTGAACGTTACAAGGCACGTCTGGTTGCACAAGGTTTTACTCAACAGGCTGGTGTAGACTTTTCTGAAACCTTTAGTCCTGTTGTTAAACCCACTACTGTTCGCATTGTGTTATCTCTTGCTGTGTCTTTTGGTTGGAGTATTCGTCAGTTAGATGTCAAAAATGCCTTTCTTCATGGAAATTTAACTGAAGAAGTGTATATGCGTCAGCCCCCTGGGTTTGTTCATCCGCAGTTTCCTAATCACATTTGTCGTCTTAGGAAAGCTATTTATGGTCTTAAACAGGCTCCTCGAGCCTGGTTCTATCGCTTTAGTAGCTTCCTCCTAACTCATGGTTTTGTTTGCAGCAAGTCTGATAATTCTTTGTTTATTTATCGTAAAGGGTCTACTGTTCTTTATCTCCTCCTCTATGTTGATGATATTATTGTTACTGGTAATTCTCCTACCTTCATTAGTACATTTATTTCCTGTCTTGGTCGTTATTTTGCTATGAAGGATTTAGGGGATTTACATTTTTTTCTGGGTGTCCAAGCTGTTCGTGTCTCCTCTGGCTTATTTTTATCTCAGCAAAAATATGTTTCGGACCTCCTAGCTAGATTTCATCTTCACACTCTTAAGCCAGTTCGTACTCCTCTTCCTACTCGTACTAAGCTATCTCTCACTGATGGGGATCTTTTAGCTGATCCTACTGAGTATCGAAGCATGGTGGGTGCTTTACAGTATTTAACCATGACTCGACCTGATATTACATTTGCTGTTCATCTGGTGTCCCAGTTCATGCATGCTCCCCGTACTTCACATATTTTGGCTGTTAAGCGTATTTTCAGGTATCTTCAGGGGACTTTAGCACATGGTTTGCTACTTCGGCCGAGCTCGGGGTCTCCACTTTTGCAGGCTTATTCTGATGCTGATTGGGCAGGTTGTCCTGATAGCAGCCGGTCCACGTCTGGTTTTGCTATTTTTCTAGGTCCTAATTTGGTTTCATGGAAATCCAAAAAGCAACCCACGGTGTCCCGCTCTTCCACTGAAGCTGAATACAGGGCTATTGCTTATGCTGTACAGGACACACTCCACATTCGGTCTATACTGTTCGAGCTCGGAATTCCTATATGTACACCGGTTAAGCTACACTGTGATAATGTTTCAGCATCGTATCTGTCCACTAATCCTATTCAGCATGCTCGCAGCAAGCATATCAGTATTGACTATCATTTTGTACGAGAGAGAGTGTCTCATGGAGATCTGATTGTTCGCTATGTTCCTACGCAGTTCCAGCTTGCAGATATTTTCACAAAATGCTTATCTCCACAGCGCTTTACTTTTCTCAGAGACAATCTGCGCATTATTTCCCCTACACAGATTGAGGGGGTGTAATAATGTAGTTATTTCCTATTAGGAGTTTTTCCTATTTTAATTATTTCCTTGTAATAGGTTTCCTATTGTTATAGGTTTCCTAAGATATTTTGTACTCTTATTTATTATATATATGATACTCAGGGCTACCACATTGGTAAGCCGGCCATTATTCTCACAATTATAAGGTGACAACTCCGGTACCCATTTAAAAAATGGGGTACCGTACCTAACACTGACATGATTGGTCCAAATCATTAAATCATTTTTAATTTAGATTTAAATAATTCAACTGCAACATTCTGATTGGTCCAAGTGGACAAAGGTATGGTACCTTTTGGGTACCATAGAATCTACCAAATTATAATCCGTATATGAAAACAATAACGATAATACGGAGACCTGGAGATATCAAGTAACTTAGCTTGCTCGTGTAGTACTAGCTAGCTATAATAATGAATATTCCTTAAATACGACTTATTTGATTCTATTAAAAGAATAAATTTCGTCAATTAGGAGCGCATGCGTCCTATACTAGGAAAGGAATAATTATGGTGATCCTATAATCCTATTTCTACATTTTACCAATGTTTTAAACATTAGTTTTATCTAAGGAATTAACTCTTTGTAATAAACCAAGGTAATTAAACGTTGACAAATGAAAATGTTCTTTGTCATTGGTGTAGGAAGGAAGATACAATCATACACCGGATTGAGTTGATACAAAGAAAGTTTTCAAAAAATTCAAAAATATGGAATATGTGGGCAGCGTGGGCTTAATCTCGATCGTATGCCGTATGGATCCCTAACCTTCACCGGGCCATGCTTTTTTGTTAAAAAGTATTTTTATAAATAAATGTACAATACAAAATGTGTAGTACTCCGTATAATATTACGAGTTTTTTACACTAATATATATTATCAATATTATTTGGAGTTACAAAAAACTGACTAATGGTAAGGAACACGTTGTACAAGAAGGGAGTAAGGTATGGCATGAAATCATATTTTTGTTAGTGGGGTTTAAAGTGGTTATATTTGTGTAATTTTTTCTTATATTAATTGATATGAATGATCAATATTTATCTCTATTAGTAGCTTAGAGATACCGCATATTAATTAAAGTTGTAAAGGATGGATATAGATGAAATACTCGTACAACAATTAATGAACGAATAATAACTGAGGTAGCTAGCCAGTGACTTACGAGAAAGCCAATGTAGAGATTGTGGCGGAAGAAAGCATAGCCGACGACGAAAAGGAGGAGGAACACATTGCAGCAGAAGAACGCATAACAGCAGAGTGAGGAGACGACGGCTTTGAAGTAGAACACCGTCCTTCTGCCAGCTGATCCCATACAGTATACCGCGTAGCACACTGCTTGCTCCCCTATTATCCCCATCAACAATCTGCATATCCATCCATGCACACGTTATAATCATCATCATCATCATATCCATCCGATCCGGCCTTAATTATATATCTAGCTAGCTAGGTTTTAAATTAATTTCCATAAATTGGCCTGGATGGTTTGATTAATTAAATACTCCGTAAATCCTTACCTGTGGTCAATGTTCACGAAAGGTCGAAAACATGGGACAATACAAGTCCCCATAAAAAATGTAGCAGGAATCAGATACCCGATCTTCTTCGCCTGTATGATACCAAATTAAATACAGTTCTCTACATGTGAGTTAATAATTTGTTTTGATATATTTAATTAATTTATTCTGAGTATATATATACACTCAAATTCTCATCGTATGCATATATTATTACCCCCCTCCATGAAGGTGTCTTGAGAACAAAAAACATGGATCCAGAGAAGACGAGAAATGTGAAGCACCCCCCAACTTCACCAGCAAAATCCAGTAACACTCCCAATAATGTGCATACACAGGCAAGCACTAGTGTTGCGTAAACCTGTTGATATATACGTACGGAGTATTAATTAGGACAGTTTTAAGTTTTAACTAACAGAAAGTCAGAAATAAATAAATTAAATTTGGAGCAATTTATTTCAACATGAATTTAGAAGGAGGGGAACGATCGGCAGAAATGAAAGACTTCATCGATCGATTGATCAATCGCTTATACCAGAAATTCAAGAAATTCATACTTATTATTTACCCAAAAAAAGAAATTTAGAATTATTATATAGGTCGTCGCGTTTTCCAGAACCGGAGTTTTAGCTTTATATAAATACGGTCGGCGTATCTTTCATCAACGGCAATAGTCAAAGCGCCGCCGCCGGCCGGGAATAACAGAATGAATGCTAAAGCCGCCGTATGTATGATCGATTATGAATGAATACATTGCGTACCTTCTTGAGGTGTGAGTGGACGAAGAGATAGGTGGGAGTGAAGTCGGTCAAGGTCCTGAAGTCAATGCAGCGGCAGAAATAGGATTTCACGGCGGCCGTTGCGGTCCTAATCGCGGCGGAGAGGCGGCGGGAGAGTGGCGGCATTGTTGCGGCTCGATCGCACACAGTAAAGCTGGAGACGACGAATGAAGAAATGGAAGTGAGATGTGAGTTGTGACTTTTGCAAAAAAAATAAAGAGGGAAGAGACTGCCGTAACTGAATTTTGGACTAAGGCTACCCGCTATATAACTAACTTTAATTTGGTGATAATTATTTCACGGCGCGGGTGTATGCATGATATAGATATATGGCCTTGTTTGGCAAATCACTTCTGAGAACCAATTTTTAGCTTGTTTGATCAATTTTAATTATTGATCAGATAAATTAAGTGTTGGGTGAATGGTCTTTTAAAATAGCTATTTCATCCAAAAAGACGATTTTTCAATTTTACCAAATAATTATTTATAATCAGCTGACGCAACTAGCTGGTCAAAGCAATTACTAATACAATCCGTTGTTAAGAAATCGCCGACATAACCAGCTAATAACAATTTGACCAGTCAATGCAATAGTCATATAGATGGGCTAATAAGATAAAAAAAATGATAACACCTCATCCCTTGCGATAACCAAACAATTTGACCAGCGTTTTATGAAAAAAACTGATTTCCACACAAACAAAACAATGTCTATATCACAAACAATTTGACCAGTGTATACAATGATTGACATGTACAATGGCGTGTATAGAAAGCGGGGCTGTTGATTTTAATTTCAAACAGGCAGTGTTATCTTGCAACTTATACACACTAATATTTTTTGAGATAATTGTACTAGATTTCCTAATCAAGTTTACAAATGTCAAATCTACTTTTCTATGATTGCGGTACGATAGTTAATGTATGCAGTGGCGGCACACTTGGGCGGTAAACTGAACTAAATCAACAAAAAGTTTAGTGTACATGAGTTCTACATAAAATGTACACAAAACCTCTTTAGTTACTTGTGTACACAGACAATTCATTTTAAAAGTGACAAGATTTGATGCCAAAACTCTCTCACTAATGTACAATTTTATGTACATTTTGTGTACACCAAGAATGACCCAAAAAATTACCCCAGATTCAATAGGTGTGGGCCGAATGTGATTCTATTAATAGCCACACAATTAATATTTACAGTTATTAATTAGACGCACAATGATTTCCGTTCAATTAACATAATTAATCCCTCCCACTAAAAAAACAGTGTTTTGTCACGGATTTGGTCTGTGACAAGTTTGTCATGGATTTTGTCACAGATTTATCTCACATCTCACAAAAAACCTTTGTCACGGACCAAATCCGTGACAAACCTTTGTCACGGACCAAATCCGTGACAAACCGTTGTCACATACTATTTCTGTGACAAAGCCCGTGACAACACAGCTCCGGTGACCGGAAACTTATGCCGGCGTATTTTTTTTATTCCAGCGTTTTGTCACGCACCGACAATATCATTTGACTCACACTAGTTGAAAGTCAAGAGTATAATACAATATCTGTTGAAAGATTGAAGGATGTAAGCTTATGTCATTTTCCCTGTCTATTCAAATAAGAATTAAGGTATATCATTTGAATTATGTATCTTTTTTAATGCTAAATATTAAATTTTTTCATTTTAAATAATAAAAATTTTTTTTTTTTACAGAAATTGGCTTAAATTAATAACACATCATTCAGATAGTAGGTAATCCGACAAAAAGATTTTCAATAACTGTAAATAATAAAAAATCATTAGTGAGGTTGTTAATTAATTAACAATGTAATTATCTTCATATGTTAGTGATATTACAATTTATTGTGCATATATTTGAAATTTGTTTGGAAATGTATATTACAGTCAATGGTAATACCGTTAGTTTAGGATTTCAATTGATAATATTAGTTAAATTTAAGTATTAGCTATTTCAAATGGGTTTATAAAAATATTAGGTCTGCTTATGCCTTTAATTTTAGTCAAAAACATTTTAGAGTTTTAAGTAATGATGATAGTAATTCAATTACAATACCTGTCACGTTTTTAGTTAATTAAAGTGTTTATGTGAAATTCCTTTAGAAATATATACTACGGAGTATATTTTAGCAATTTAGGATTTATAATAATTTAAGTTAGGATTTAAACAATACTTTAGTGTGAATTTTTAGGTGGTCAATGAATTATTATTGTGAATTATTTGAATTTCATTTAATATAAATGTTAGTTAATTTATTTTGTATAATCATATTCTCAAAATCTTTCTTTTGTGAATTAATGCCATTAACGTAATATTTAGTGTATTTAGTGTTGATTATTTGGCGATATTATAAGTATGGTTGTAAATGAACCAAATCGAGTAGTGTAATTTTGTATTCGTATTTTGTTTACTTTTTCCAAATATATGAATCCAAATTCGAATTAATAAGATCCCCAAACGTTCAGTTTGGGGTGGTCGGACTTTTGCAGCAGTAGTGGCAAATAAAGATCCTCCTTTATCAAAGAAGACATCCACTCCACTCGATTCAAAGGAATGCCTGCGGCCATTTCATTTCCCGAGGAAGAGATCCAACTTTTGGCGGTTATTTCTTCAGGGGTCGCCCACATCTTGCTACTCTACGCAATGCTTTTGAGTTAATTGGTTTCAAAGGTAAATTCAATCTTGGTTTATTAATTAGAGAAGAAGGATGTGTTAGATTCGATTTTATTTTGAGAAAATATCTTAAAATTAAAATTGTCATGTGAAACATACAATTAGAAATATGCACATAATACTAAAAATTAACAAATGGAAAAAAGGATCCCCTTTTAATTAAACTTCAAAAAAAGTGATTAAAAGGGATTAAAGAATTATTATACCCCTTTCCATTTAATCGGTGCAAGGATCGGATTCCGTCTCCGGCTCAGGTCTCCAACCTTCTATACTAAACTCACACACACCACTCTAGGGCTAGGCCACTCCATCTCCCATGTTTACTCACTCTTCTTCACTCCACTAAGGAACTCTCACACAAAGGGAAAGGAAGAAGGAAGACACTGCACAATGAAGTTCTCTCACAGGCTTATCTCACAAAGAAGGGGGGAGTGTTGACTTTATAATAGGCTGCCAGCCTATTGAGAAGTCACGGGCAAAAAATAACAAGGACACTCACGGGTGTGAAGGACATTCACGGGTAAGGCAATCAAAAGGGAGCAGCGAACAGAAGATGGGGCATACTCCAGATAAGTCAACAGGCCACCAATGAGTGATTTCAACTCAGGGAATCAAAGTGGGAGTAAACATGGGGTGCAAGCCTAAATAATAAAGTGGAAGAGAGGTCTTGGTAGGACCAATACCTCCAACAATCGGTTATTACAGTGACCAATGTCATAGACTCATAGTGACTACCAGTGACCAACGTAGCGTCATTGCCAATCACAGTGACAAAAAATGATCATAAGTGGATGAAGAAAAACTTTTCAGTGCAATATTGCTCTTTATATATCTAGATTTTAGAATCAAATTAAAAGAGAAAGACATTTTAAGAGACAAGTAAGAAATTTATCATCGTTAGATCATCTACTACTAGCCCCGGCCGGTACATGAAGGAACTCCCATCTTTATTATTTTTCTCAAGAAGTTCATTCACGTATATCAATATAAAATTTGGTGTTTTTTCATTAAAGAAGAACCAATATACGTCTATCAATATAAAATTTGGTGTTTTTTCATTCACATTCTTACCAGTAATTTGAGTGAATGGAACATATTTGATACATTTATCAAAACAGTTACTATAATAATGCATTATAGTCATCACGTATAATATATTTAATGTGAATGAACTGATCTGGATGTGCTTTTTATTAGGTGGAAAATTTGGTGTTTAATAGATAAAGCTATTTAATTACTATGGGCAAGTGCTAAGAGTTGAGAGGAATGAAGAGAATGCACAAATGATGGACTAAGAGTGTTCACGTAGATAACAGAGTAGCAGAGTTAAATAGCACATGAAAATTTTAGGCTAGAACTCCTAGAAGTGATTATTCATAATAATTGAACATCAAAAGAATAAAACATGACTCTTTTTTGGTTTAGGGGGTATGATTTCCGTTAAACTCTAACACATATTCCAGCAGCTTTCTCCAAAATAGCCTTGAGATGATATACTCTTAAGCATTTAATCTATGAAAAAACAAAATTATGGAAAGGACTAAGGAGTAGAATAAGGTACCTCAACAACCCTTCTTTAAGCTAGATGTATTAATTTCTCATGCTTATTATTGGAGGAGGCAATGTGACAGGAGAGTATTTGATACTACTACCGTATGTTTCTTCCAAACTCTTGGTGGCGGAAGAGAACCCTGTGTCAACATTATCTCCTTTTGTTCTGTCCAAATCTGTGACAAGAGAGTATTTGATACTCCCAAAAACTGAAATTATCAAAAGTCAAAACTTTTGTGTGGTGAATTATTAGTTTATCAAGACCACTCGTGTTTGTCCATTTTTTGAGATATGGAACGTGATTGCTGAAACAAAATGGTTCACCTGGCCTTTAATTTTAAGTTTTAAGGAGAGCTTATAGCAGCCCCAAGTACAATAAATCAACAGAATCATTTTTAAAACACAATTGGATGAATGAAATGTAAGACTAGAGCTGCTGTTTTATTTAATAAAACTCCTACCGCTGCGGCGGAATGATAGGAACTTAGAGTGGATATCAGCTTAATTAGGATATGGTCAGATAATTATTATAGCTATAAAGTGAAATCAATATACATTAGTGACTGATTTGTTTTTAAGATATTAAAAAAAGTGTCATGCATATTACTAAACCATACATTTGTATCGTACATGAATTTAAGCTACTGTACCAAAAGAGTACATCTCAGAGTTTGAAGACGAAATTGAGAAGGGGAGACTTTATGCCTTTATGCACTTCATTCAGTGTAAGAGAAATTGTGGGCAAGTGGAGACCAACACAACATTCATATCAATTTTATTTTAATCAAAGGACTACGTTTATGGCCCATCCAGACAGGGCCGAACCTACATGTGAGGCAAAGAGGCGATTGCCTCAGGCCACGATTTTGGGAAAAAAATTAGGGCCCAAAAATATATAATTTTCCTTTATATATATATATACCCATAATTAGTAGGCCCAATTTGAATTTGCAACCTCCCAAATTCCAACTTCAAACTTTGAAGAGTTCTCCGGACTAGAAGAGTTGAAGACGTTAATTCATTCCTTTCTAGAATATAATCTCATTATTCTAGGTAAGTAATTAAGTATAAATGTTTTTGATGTTTATTTTTTTATGGTGCTTAAAGGCCTTATTACACTATTCGACTCAGACCAAATGTTTCTGATGGTCCTGATCAGATTGGTAAGTATACATCTTTTGTATGGCTGAAATGCATGATTCACTCAGCTTGAATACTTTAAAGTCACCTTTATAATTATAATTTATTGTGTGAAGAGATAATTGGGACATACAATCCCTCCGATCCCGTAAAGAAAGCCTTAGCGCCCTTCAACATGGAGTAGCTTTCAACTTCATAATTTACAGTTAAGGAAATACTACCACAAATTACTATTTTAGGATATATATAACTGCTTTTAAGAGTAAAATACTAAATCTGGAATGATGATGTGTTTAGGAATGAGTATACTGACCTCTTTGATAGATATTTGTCCGCCCCGAGACAAAATCATATTATTGTCTTGCTGCGGCTATGTCGTATAAATAATTGATGGGGTGTGTTGCTTCTCCTTTGCACTTTTATACAATTTGATTGAACATGCTTCATATGGTATAGTTGGCTACATTTGGTTATTTCTTTACTCTTAGATGGCACCAAAGGAGTAGCCACCTCTTTTTACGTTTCAATGTTATTAATGGATGAACATATCCCTAAGATTAAGGATTTCTGAAGCAGGTAAATTGTAATAGGAATGATTTTCTCTGCATTCACTTTAATCCCATGTACACGTATAAATACTTACAAGAGGAAGAAGTAGGGCTTGGCCCAAAAATAAACTAACATACGATATTAGTAATCTAATATATTAATAATAATCTAAGAATCTAATACCCCACTCAAGTTGGCGCATGTAGATCACAAATGCCCAACTTGGATAAAAGAAAATCAAATTGTTGTTTGCCAAGCGCCTTAGTCAAGATATCCGCACACTGAGTGGCAGTCGAAACATGTTGAGTCAAAATTGTACCACGAACGAGCTCATCCCGCACAAAATGACAGTCCACTTCTATATGTTTAGTGCGTTCATGGAATATCGGGTTTGCGGCAATATGCAAAGCCGCTGTACTGTCACAATGAATAGTCATAGGAGACGGATGAGAAATACCGATACAAGATAAGAGACCACGAAGCCATTTCAGTTCACAAGTGACCGCAGCAAGAGAGCGATACTCAGCTTTCGCCGAGGAGCGTGCAACGGTATGTTGCTTCTTGGTTTTCCAAGAGATGGGTGAACTACCCAACTGAACAAACCAACCAGTAAGGGAACGACGGGTAATTGGACAAGCCGCCCAGTCAGCGTCGCACTAGCCTGTAAGTTGCAAATTACTATCACTGCGGAGGAAAATACCGTTACCTGGGTTGCCTTTTAGGTACCAGAAGTGGTACACGAAGTACAACCTTCCAATGATCAGAACACGGGGACTGAAGAAACTGAGCCAATGTATGCACAGAGTAGGATAACTCAGGACGTGTGACAGATAGGTATACCAATCTGCCAACAAGCCGCCGGTAGGGCTCAGGGTCTGCCAGTGGGGGTCCCGCAGCCTCGGCAAGTCGATGATGTTGTTCCATAGGAATACTCAAAGGACGAGAACCAAGTAATCCTGCGTGAGCAAGTTTGACTGAGCTACTCCGTAGGTTTTCTCCTCCAGCCCCATCAACAATTGATGCACCTTTTCTTCATCCCGTTTCTTTTCAATACGTGCAGACAAATCACACGTACACTTCCCACACGTGCATGTAGGAAATTGATCTATGTCATCCCAGAGTTTTTTAAGCTTACCGTAGTATGAAACAATTGTCATCCCACGTTGTTTGCATTCAGCAAGTTCCCGTTTGAGTTGTTGTATCTTGGGTCCATTGATGACAGAAAATTGAGACTTTATATCATCCCACAGTCCACTTGCCGTCTCAATATAGGAGATACTGGAACGGAGTGTAGGTTCAATGGTGTTTCTGATCCATGACACCAAAAGCGAGTTATTGGTCCACCAATCTTCGTAATTTGGCGAGTTCTTCTCTGGCTCCGGTATAGATTTATCCACGAACCCAAATTTCTTTCTTGCACGTAAGGCCGTTCAAATTGCTTGTGTCCATTCTTCATAATTCTGACCACGAAGCTGAACTTGCGTTATGACCTCCCAGGATTGTCACTGGCTGTGAGATCGTAAGGAGATATCGTCCTTCGCTGTGGGACGACAGGTTCTTTATCATGGTGTTCACCATCTTCCTTTCACTAGTAGAAAACTGTCTTACAGTGACACTTCTTCAGTGACACTTTTGTCTGTAGTGTCACTGATAAACGACATATAGTACTAATAACATATAAGTGTCATAGTTATGTGACACTAAACCATCTATACATAATATTGACACTATATTAAAAAAGTGTTGAATTTAACCTTTATAAAATATCTACTTTTGATTTCCCTCCACAAAATATATTCCTGCCATCTATTTTTAGTAACCTCTCCTTGGCTTTTCCATCCACTCATTTTTTTCATATTACTCAATTAGCCCAAATTATTACTTGGTCAAAATAAACTTGGTCAAAATAACCTCTCTTGGCCTTCACTCTATTCCTTGAAAGCCATCGATCAGGAAGAACCCTAGATAGAGCTAGCGACCACTTTCCCTCTATCCTTCGATCAGCAAGAACCCTAACAGAGCGATGTTGATTCTCTGCTAAATAGACTCGTGTTACTGTTGAAAGCTGCGAACAACAGGGACGGCTCTCGATCGTCTGGCTTGGGAAGAACATCACGGTGCGGATCTCCTCGTCTGGATAGGGATGAACATCACGGCTCTCGATCGGGCACGAACACCAACCTATGTGTGCTAATCCATCTTCTACGAATCGATTGTGTGTGACGAACACCAAGCTAAGCCACCTGCGAAGCTAAGCCACCCGCGAAGCTAAGCCAACTGCGACTAACACCTGCTAAGCCACCAAGCTAATCTTCTATCAAGCTCTTCAAGAAATCATCTCCCTGCAGGTATAAACATAATTATGTACTATTTTTTGTTCTCATTAGT